AATCAACAGAATAGCAAATGTAGAACATAATAATAGGTAGGAAATGAATGATTAACCCACAGTAAACAATTTATAAAGCTTAGACATCTAGAAGGGGAATGAAGTAAGCATAAGTTAATGGAACATCTTGAGTTTTTCTAAGTCTATAGGTGGACTTTGATGGATACTGTTTAAAGATTATAAGAGGCTGTGATGACCAGAATCTGCATCATTGAGCTACAACTTCAGAAGAGGAACTGGAATGGAACGATAAGAGTTAGCTGAAAATTAAGTAACTTTTGGAACTACTGAAGAATGAAGAACTGGGAGACTTTAAAGAAAACACTGGAAGCTTGCCAAACAGAAATATCAATTATGTAATGTTGTGTAGAATCACATATATAGAAGATGTATTTTGTTAGCCACTTGCCACTCACTGAGGTGATGGCCCAACTCTGAGTTGTTAATAAAGCAAACCTAGAGGTACCCACAGTCTGGTGAAATTCTTTAACCCTGCTCTGGCAGGGGGGTTGGACTAGATGATCTCCAGAGGTCCCTTCCAACCCTCACTATTTTGTGACCATTTCTTCCTGTATTGCAGGGGGGATCATCCTGCTCCTGGTCTCTATCTTCTAGCCCAGGGGGTTGGATCCTCAGAGTGCAACTAGTCCTATTACTAAAGACTGAGGCAAAGAAGGCATTAAGCACCTCAACCTTTTCCTCATCCCTAGTCACCATGTTTCCCCCCTGCACCTAATAGAGGATGGATGCTCTCCCTGGCGCTTCTTTTGCTGCTAATGTATCCACAGAAAGATTTCTTCTTGTCTTTTACAGCAGAAGCCAGATTAATTTCTAGCTGGGCTTTGGACGTTCTAATTTTCTCCCTGCATAGCCTCATGGCATCTCTGTAGTCATCACATGTGGGCTTCCCTTTCTTCCAGAGGCCATAGACACTGCTTTTTATCCTGAGCTGCAGCCAAAGCTCTCTGTTCAGCCAGGCCAGTTGTCTTTGCTGCCGGCATGACTTACAGCACATGGTGATGGCCTGTTCCTGTGCCTTTAAGACTTCCTTCTTAAAGAGTGTCCAGCCTTCCTGGACTCCTATGCCCTTCAGGACAGCCTCCCAAGGGACTCTGTCAATCAGTCTCCTAAACAAGTCAAAGTCTGCCCTTCGGAAGTCCCAGGTGGCAGTTCTGCTGTCCCCCTCCTTACTTCTCTAAGAATAGAGAACTCAATCATTTCATGATTGCTGTACCCTAATCAATCTCCCACCGTTACATCACCCACCAGTCCTTCTCTGTTCATAAAGAGCAGGTCCAGCAGGGCACTTTCCCTGGTGGGTTGACTCACCAGCTGAGTAAGGAAGTTGTCCTCGACACACTCTAGTAACTTTCAGGACTGTTCCCTCTCTGCTGTGTTGTATTTCCAGCAGACATTTAGGAAATTGAAGTCCCCCACAAGAATAACGGCAAGAGATCACAAGACTTCTCCCAGCTGCTTTTAGAAAGCTTCATCTACCTCTCTGTCCTGATTGAGTGGTCTATAACAGACTCCCACCACAACATCAGCCTTGTTGGGCTTCCCCGATTCTGAGCCATAGACACTCAACCATATCATCGCTATGATTGAGTTCTAAACATTCCTAACAGTCCCTGACATACAGGGCCACCCCACCACCTCTCCTTCCTCAGCTATCCCTTCTGAAGAGCTTGTAGCCATTGACTGCAGCACTCTAGTCGCACAAGGCATCCCACCATGTTTCTGTGATGGCTACTATATCATAGTTTTCCTGGTGCACCATGGCTTCTAGCTTCTTCTGTGTGTTGCCTATGCTACATGCATTAGCGTAGATGCACTTCAGTTGGGCTAATGTTCCTGACACTTCTTTACGGGTGGAAGCCCTACTTCCTACCTGACTGCTCTCAGGCTTTACCATGGTTTCTAACCCATCAATAACCCTTCCATCTTTACTGCCCCGTGTATCTCCAGCCCCTACCTCCACTGAGACAGAATAACAAGGGTCCTCACTAGCTCGCCATCCTGCAAACCCTGGCATGCTCCACCTGGGCTTATTGCTAGCAGGCTCAGTTACATCCCCTTCACCCTTCCAATCTAGTTTAAAGCTCTTTCAATGAGCCCTGCTAATTCTTGCCCCAGGATCATTTTCCCCTTCTGAGACAGGTGTACCCCATCTGTTGCCAGTAGGCCCAGTGCCATATAGACATCACCGTGATCAAAAAAAACAAAACTCCACCGCTGGTACCAGCCTCTGAGCCACATGTTAATCAGTTCTATCTTCCTGTTCCCTTCTCTCCTTACCCCTGAAGGGATTGAGGAAAAAACTACCTGTGCACCAGAATCTTCACCCAGTCGTCCCAGTGCCCTGAAGTCCTCTTTAATTGCCTTAAGATTTCTGTCCAAAACATCACTTCCAAGTTGCATAACCAGTAGCGGGTAAAAAAATCAGTGCACCATACCAGACCAGGGAGTTTCCTGGTGGTGTCCCTGACACGGGCCCCACGGAGGCAGTAAACCTCCATGTGGGACAGATCTGGTCAGCATATGGGGCCCTCTGTTCCCCTTAGAGGAGAATCACCTACAACAATTATCCTCCTTTTCTTTTTAACAGTAGAAATCCTAATGCATGGGGCTTCCTCTGTGTCCTCATTCGCCTGCCCCTCAACTTCCAGAGCCTCATACCTGTTGTGAAAGGGCAACTGGGAAGGTGAGGGAAGCTGGGGAGGGTTTCACCTGCCTCTCCGAGCAGGGACCTGTTTCCATTCCTCCCCATCTCTTAGAATCATAGAATCATTGAATTGTCTAGGTTGGAAGGACCCTTGGGATCATCGAGTCCAACCATCTACCCTACTCTACAAAGTTCTCCCCTACACCATACCCCCAACACCACATCTAAACGGCTCTTAAACACATCCAGGGATGGTGACTCAACCACCTCCCT